TTAATCTAAATAATTCATCAATTAATTATTTGAAATCTAATTAATCCCTTAAAAATCAAAATTTTTATTAAGTTCCGGCAAGCACGAGCGAAAACGTGTGCATTCTGGCTCCAAGAAAAATAAGCCGAAAAAGAAGGAAGAACGACGGAAGAACAAGACCGGCGAACCGACGCTTCCAGACGCGAAATCGGAGGCCAAACCCCAGCGTGTCAAAAGACAGGACGGCAATTCTGACGACTCGGAAGGCGTGCCGTTGATGCTCTCCGCAGCTTTCTTGCACACCGTCGAGCCAGCTAAGTGTCACCCCGACGGCAGATGTCCTCTTTCCTTACCGTCTCGTCTGAATGACGATCCGAAAATGGAGACCGTTTCGTCTGAAGGTCAGTAAATTTCTGCATGCCAAACGTTCATAGGCATTTCTTTCGCACGGTTATTAGGCTTTGTTTAGGAGGCGACCATGAGGAGGATGAGGACGTGTGAAGACTGATCGTTATGGCCCGTTATTACCAATCCGATATCGCTGTTCGTTATCTGTTGAAGCATAATGAATTACTGTAACGTTGCCGATGACGAATTATAAATAGACGCTCGTCTCGCGAAACACTATATCGTTTATCATCATGTTTTTTCTCTAATGAATATCTTTCGTTGATTATAAATTTTTTTCTTAATCGTTGTTACAGCTGTTTTTTCTTCACCGACGGTTTCGGCCGAAAAAACAAGACGGGCTAGAGACTGTTGCTGCATTCGTTGAACAGCGTGTCTGTAACTGATTCATCATTCGTCGTTTACCGTTTCTCCCGTTGATTAAGCATAACCGCCGAGGAAGCGTTATATACCACAGAAATGTATATTTATGAGTTATACTTTGTGCTGACTATCATACTAGCAATCAGCTATTTGGTGAGTGCAAACGTAAGGGTCTTTCGTACCGAACGAATGACCCAACATTTCGTCCATTCTGATATCACGATGCTGTTCGCAAGTCCACGATTTGCTACCTGTTTCTCAGATGGTTGCGTCGAAGTAACATCGGGTACACTCGATGCTCAGAAGCATTAGCGATTATGACAAATTTGGACATCTCTCGGGGCCGGAACTCGGCCTTTCCAGAATTGGAAATCAACTCTTTATCACTGTGCCACAAATCATCTACCAAATAAACAATCCAAGCGGGTTGTGTCAAAGCAATGGTGTCCTGTAGTGAATTGTCCCTGACGAATTTTTGAACTTTAGCCTTTAAGCCAAAGACGTTGGATGACACAGAGCCGGACGTCGATGCGAGCGCTAACCGAGAAAGGTATCACTCCTGCATGTTATATGGCTGATTTCTGTACAGTACAATTGTGTACATAATTCTTAGAACATGTTTTATGCTGCACAATAGAGCTATAATACAAGCAGATTTAACGTTTTCGATTTTCATTCGTTGTTAGAACTGCCGCTGACTTATTGCTCAGTGTTTAATGGCACAAGACGATTGCTGGTAGATGTTTTGTTGCCAACGCGATTCGCTACCATGAGCATGATCAAGATAAATACAATGGGCTTCGAAGCCCCTTAGACATAGGAGTTGGTCTTCATCAGCAAAGAAATAAAATGATCAATCATTATTGAGGCAATCTATCATTCTGAGAATGCCACAATATCGAATGAAAGCACATCTCAAAAAACTGATACACAGAAACACGAATGTACATGTTGCCGTGTTTGCTCCCCATTATATGTTCAGTAGCGATGTTTTCTGGCTCCAAACCGTCCTGAGAAATGAAGCATTGATCAGAGTAGGGGGGTAAATCACAGTTTGCGGTGTATTCCATGAGCCGCTAATCTCCCTGTAAACATTTATGGACTCTACAGTGTTTCACCTAAGGAGGCTGTTACGGCCAGCTTGACTGAACTTGTTACGATTCTAATGTAGATAGACAGATGTCGACCGGAGGCAATGGCTGAGGACGAGAACTCGTGATATCTACTAATAGTTAGAGTGAGATTGGAATCATTGAGTCATTTTGTTGAAACAGTACTGTTCAACAAATTTTAGATGTCTCCTCGTGAGGGTTCGAGACGTATCATACTCCAATGATATGCTGGATGTTTCTTGATTTCGGTTTGCACCTTATCTTCAGGGATGCTCGCTATTCACGTTGTGACGCCAACTGTGCTTTTCATAAGTGAATAAACTGTTTCTATATAGTTATGTACGATTATTGGACTATTTTAGGTTCAGTTTCACTAATTCCACTGAGCAGGTCTGTTGTGATGCTGGCCGAGGCATGCATATTTGGACTCATAGAGGACCAGTCGATACGTACATGTACACATACCTCCAGGCATGCATACTTGGACTGATAGAGGACCAATGGATACATACATGTATACATACCCCCAGGCATGCATACGTGGACTCATAGTGGACCAATCAATGCATACTTGCATACACACCCCCCAGGCATAGGTGAACCTGGGTCGTTATGAAGATGACAAAGGTTTATTGTTTGAATTGACG